ATGATCAGCCTGTTAGCTGCTGAACATGTACTATCAGTGCAGTAGCGGCGAAGGAAAGTCTACTATCCTATCCGCAGTCGTTGTATGTAGACAGAGGGAAACTGGAACAGATGGGCAGCAGCATCTTCCTCATAACAACTCAATATTAATATAAACCTGCAGTTGTCAAACCAAGCATGACAACTGTGACAAATAGCCCCCTCCCATGGGTATCTTATTAATGTTAAATTTATTGTAATAAATGTACTTATAATGAGCACTAATAAATGATTGATTAATGATTGGGGATGGGCATTTCCAAAAATGCACCTGTTACTCAATTTTATACCTCAATTTTATAATAGTAAACAATAAAACAGTTTAAATATTATATAGTATTTGTTGATAATTAAATATCAAAAACGGTATAAAATATAACTTACATATTTTTAGAATAAATGGGAATTACCTACATAAAGAATTAGTCATCCTACACCAGTCTATAAAGACAAAATAGTATACATATAAATAAGTATTATACCTGCATAAAGTATATTTATATTTAACTAAAGTGAAATATTTTTAGCACTGCATCTCACAAGCAGGGAATAGCTATTATTCGTAGAATATTTTTTCACTCATGCCGGTCTGAGGCTAATGGATATGACCTTCCTCCTTGACATGTTGTGTCTACCTCATCTTAAGTATTACGGGTCACTGTTTTTTTATTTAAATTGAAGAATGCCTAATTTCGTAGCAACCATTTAATTGTTTCGTCAATAGTTTGATATATATATATATATATATATATATATATATATATATATATATATATATATATATATATATCTGGCTATTGTTGCAGATAGTAGGTGGAAAATTAAAAGAGATAAAAGAATTAAGAAGAGAACTATAAACTCTTACTTATTTTAGCAGTACAGTTGCAGTGTATGATTGTGTGCTTTTTTATTGCTGTTAATAATTGTGTAAGCAAGAGCACTAGTTGGTGTCAGAGTACCTAACTACTATTTTTATACTGGTTTTAAATCCCAGCTGAAACTTTTATGCAGAAATAAGTATGGTTAATTAACATGTATGCATGTGTTGTGACTATTCCCAAGCCCCATAAATACTGCATAGTAATAAAATAAGTATATATCCTTTTTTTAAGCACTCCACACTGTTTATTGTAGTATAACACAGAGTCAGCAATCATCAATTATTAAAGGTTATCTTTCAAAATACTAACACCAACCTCTGATCTAACTTTACAGACATTACCTGGGCCAAGGGCCATTTAAGAAAAAAGAGAGTGCTACTGTATTAACACATAAACTTGTGTAACTATATGTCCAGCGGAAATAACAGAATTGTAGCATATCAAGAAGTTGTTGCTGCAGTGAAAACTACCAGAATCTACATGTCTGAGCTAGGTTTTACCAGAGAGAATATATTTTTTGTACTTTCATAATTTTCTCTTATTTAAACTTCAATTTTTTTAATTCAGACATTTGTCTTTACTCCACATGAATTAAAGAACTCTGTTTTTCCTATGCAGATTTCTTTTCTGTTTGTCACTAAAGGTCAAATACTCTAACGCTCCTCAATTTTACACAGCACGGCCACTTTGACTTAAAGTGATAGTAACAGCATTAGACTTGACGGCAACTTAAATTTAGTGGCATTTGACCATTTGAGCATAAATCAATTAAAAAAGTTATTTTCTAAAATCTTTCGACCAAACTCACAAACACTCTTTAATTCATTTACATTTAAATAATGAATTACAATACAGCTCAAAACACACTACATGCATAAATATTTACTAGTGAAACATAGCCTAAAATTTAAACTGAAGTTTGACAGTTACATTTTGTAGTGTTTTGTGTTGTTTGTTTTTGTAATATTCTTGTGTCACCTCTCAAAAGTTAACATTGGTATGATAGCTATTTGTGAGATAGATCACAAATGAAATATAGTTCTTCTTTTATAGAATAAGGGTGACAAACAAGCGCACAGTCCACCTGATGGTAAGTGGATGCTGTGATAAGTGGGCCCATAGACATCTACACTTATCCTCAATTAATCTAAACCGTGTTGTGGCAGTGTAAGAATATCTACTTCCCCATATAATCTTGTGGGTGTCGTAATAGGCGACCGAGGGAAACAAACCAGGAGACGGTCAGCAGTGTCCTTCCAATAACAACTAGAAAAAAATTGCAGCAGACAATTCATGGGGAAGGCCTATGTTCTGCAGTGGGCTTTGTTTTTTTTTATAGGATAGGGTGACAAACGAGCACACAGTCCACCTGATGGTCAGTGCTGTAGCCTATAGACATCTACATATATCCTCGATTACGAATCAAAATGCAGATGCGTTGACACCTCTCAGGACTAAGACGGAATGCCTTGTTTCCAGTAAAAATGGTCTCCGGTTGTCTACACTCACCATACGAAACACAGCAGCATAAAGCTACTATTTTATGCTGGTATTCTGTGAGAGTGTGGTCCTTCACCAGTCGAGCCTACCCATTCATGCTACAACTGTACTACTAATATAACTGCAGCATGGCTCTACCACATATCAAAGTTCACTATCACAATGTTAATAATATTTACTAGTTCATCAGCAAAATAATTTTATTCGTTACTTAGTTATAAGACATTTTCAGCGCATCTGAGAATTGAAAAATTTACCCTTAACAGGACTATTTTCTTACATCTTTTGTTTCATAGATAAGGAAAGTACCAGCCATTCTTGTTACCAATGTGAGCAAGTGCATCAGCATGTTAAGGCTGGTATTCAAAGACAATCTCAGATTTTAAACTCAAGCACCACAATGTGAAAATTTGGGTTAAGTCTACTATGTTATATAAATTCTGACCTTACTATGTCAGTAATGACAAATAATGCAGACATGAGTTTCTAAGGATACTGTTGCTTTAATTATATACAGATCTTTGTAAATGCTAATGACTACAGGTCCAGGAAAAGATTTTTGTAATACAACTTTTGCTTCATGCAAGGTGGAGTTAGCAACTAACTTGATCATTTGGCAGAAATCTGAAGGAGTAAGGTGTTTTATTTGGTAGAGGTTTGGCCCCCAATTATAACAATGCCACTCCCATTAAAAGGTAATGCACCATTCTTGAGAAAAATCAAAAAGAATTCCCATAGAACTAACCTCAAAATCATAACTCAAAATGAATTAAGAGGTGGGAGATGGTGGAGAGGGAGGCGGGGGAGTTGTAGAGTCGCCCCCCACTTCCACATTCTGCCGGACATGCTTAGTTTCATTTTTATAAATTTTTAAAAATCTAATTTTGAGGTTATATTTTTGTAATGTTTTTGACTATAAACCTAATTTATGGGGGGAGAGAGTTGGAGGAGGGAAGCACCACGTAGCGCAGTCAAGGGAAGGCCGGTCGACGGAGCCCCGCTTCGCGGGGCTCCTACTTCTGAGTGGTTTACAAAAAAAATAACCATGAAGGGAATGGCGGGGTCTATTCGCTCGCTTCGCTCACTCACTCGGCCCCGCCATCACCTTCTAACCTAACCTGTCCGAGTCAGGGTGCCCTAAGTCCCGAGCTCGCTTCGCTCGCTCTTGCACTCAACAAAACACCAAAATTTAGCTTTTATAATTCCTTTTAATTATAAACACAATATATAATACAAGAATAACCGCACTACAGCTCGCACAGATGCCTGCGATTTGCTACGACGGGTTGGGGCTGCTCTCCCTCCGCACCTATGGCTTTACAAAAACACTTTAGGAGTAGGGCAGACAAGACCACGTGGATTCGGAGCGTGCTGATTTAATTTTAGTACAGATTCGATCAGATCAGATATCTATAGTCAGGTTGCCTTTGCTCCCGCCACAGACACAAAATTCTGTATGCTATCCAGCTTTCACAGTAATATCGTATAATTGTTTCTCAGAAGGGCTAGAACCCAGAGTCGTAAAGTCAGTTATTAATAAAAATAAAAATATAATTTTCCATACATTATTCCATTTTAGGTTATAATAGTTTTTATTTATTTTTTCGATAACGGTGCATTACCTTTTAATGTGAGTGGTATTATTATAATCGGGGACCAAACCTCTACCAAATAAAACACCTTACTCCCCCAAATTCCTGCCAAACGATTCTAAATCCAATCCACGCATATTTTCAATATCATATTTTTGGAGAAAAAATCTCTATAAATATTTTTATGACAAGTACCTACTTTGCTATTTTTAATACTGTGTAATTTAACATTACCCAAAATTTAAATTTACTATTGCAAAATAATATGTTTATATCTTAAAATTGCTTACTTCGTACTTCCATTTAATATATTTATTATTAATTATTCACGGCTATTCATCATTACAGCCCGTATATCCACTGTTGAATGTAGACTGCCTTTAAAGATTGCCACAATGCCTGGTCCTGAGCCACCAGCATTCATTGACAACATAAATAATTTATCTGATTGTCACTGCCACCAAGTGGGAGCCCTACAACACTGGGCTTACCGATATGGGGCTGCCACTATTATATACATTACCTATATGTTTTTCATACCTATATGTGTTAAAAAAGTAATACATTTAACACAAATACAAAATTTATGATGGCCTAGTTATAGCTCAGCCCTAATATATATTTTGTGAATAGATAGTTATAATAAACGGATATTTTTAATAGAAAAATTTTGAATGGTATGTTTACTAACCCATTTTAATTGAAATGAAATAAAAATGTAGATTAACAATGCTAAATTAACAATGTATGTATGTATAATGTAAAATATAATGTAGAATATACTGCAGAATAACTTAAAATGAATCAAAACTTATTTATTTTTGTTTGTTTGCTTGTTTCCTTGAAATCGGCAATTCAATAGCTATTATAATCGTGTAATAGCATGGATGATCAAGATTGACAGATGAGAATCGCAATAGGCGTTACACATTATTAAAGAATTCATTCACAGTTTTTGGAATTGATGGTAGAATTAAAGCTCTACTTACCGTAAATCTTCATACTTTCGTTGTAATTAGCAACATTATCACAATGAACGCACAAAATTGTTACAGTAAAAATGGCTCCTATTGTGTACTGAAAATACATTTTCAAACTACGTGTTACACTTTTTACAAGCATCAAAATATCTTAAGCAGTGTTTATAAACCACATTTTCAAATCATTAACGCGTTAGGCGGATACAATCTTACTATCGAGTCATTTACTCATTTATTTCCTCTAAATTGTCTCAATCAAGGTGCCATCGAAGTATACCCCGCCGTCTGTCACTCGTCTTGTCAATAAACAATAAATGTTGCCATTTGCCAGTTTACCTACAGAACTTTTTACGCAACATGGTTCCACTAATGACCCACCACTTTTTTGCCACCAAGGCGGCGCCACTTTGAAATCATGTGAAATATTTGATAGATCATAGCGAGGAATTTATTATGTTAGAAAAATATAAGGATTAATGTTTCTATCAGTAAGATTAGTTTTATTTTAAATTCCCTCATATATTGATCTCAACAGCAATTTGGCCGACTACGCAATTTGGTAATAAACCACAAATTCAGAACCCATTTTTCAAGAGACTGACGTTTCCAAGAGGACAACCTCTCCAAGGCCACAGCCCGACTTTAGATTAAATGAGTTAACTTCAAGAGAAAATGACGGACAGTATTATTGTGAGTATTATGATTATGACACAGACGAGTATGACAATGAACTGAAACCATTCGCTGAGGAAACCATTGACGAAACAACTTATAACGAACTTACAATTGAAACTCAAACTCAAACTATTAATAATTTTCACATGAGAGCCTCCATTGGAGAAAGAAGTTATAGAACTAAATAGTGATCCGAATCTCAAGTTACCCTGTATTCGTATTCCTGAAATAGATGCAAAATTAATGGTAGATACAGGTAGTACTAGATCTTTTATCAGCCCCCAGATGGCATACCGACACTTTTATCAATATATAACACATGAACCATTTGAAGTAGTCACCACCCTCTACCAGACATGATGAGGTGATACAAATCCCTCAACCTTCAAGAGTTCAGATTGTCATAATTTTTTTCTATATGACGTCGACTCTCGTTACGATGGTCTCGTAGGTAAGGACCTATCGAAGCAACCAGATACAATAATAGACCTTAAAAACCTTGTACTTAAAACCAAAACAACTTGCATACCAATAGTTAATAATAATTTGAATTATGTTATAACATTACCATCACGACCAGAGCAGCGCGTAAATTTAACATTACCAAACAGACCATTGTTCTGGAGAGGCAATAATTAGTTATAAGTAAATAGTTTATCAGCGGTGTACGAATGCCATAGTGCATTAGTAAATAGCGTTAACAGTTATGCCACAACCGTCATACAGAACGTCCTTGACAGTGAAATGATATGTATAACACGACATTTTACATTTACTAATTATGAGACTACTGAATGTGACATAAATTTTACAAGTACTTATGATGACGTAGAGATCGATAAGATACTTGAAGAAAATCGATTAAAATTAGGACTTAATCACACTGACAACGAGGAACGCAACAAATTTTTTTGGCTATGCCAATAATTCAAAGACATATTTTGCTGCGACAAATTGACACTGTCCTTCGGTAGCAAAATTAAACATGAAATATGCACAAAAAATTAAAATCTTGTTTTCGTAATAAGCTCAAGTGGCTTCCTATCCGCCTTCGCCAGAATGCTCATATTCTGTCACTTCTTTACAATGTTCTCTTCAATCCTTCTTATCTTAAGGATCGTTTTGAATTCCTTCACATTCCCATTCGAAAGTTTTGAGATTATCAGAGAATTTTACATTAAAAATGCCTGCTCAGCATTTTTTTGTATTTATTTGTTGTTTATTTCTAATTATATTATATAAAATATGGATATATTTATAAATATTGTTTCTGCATTACCAAACCACACAATTTACTGCTATTTGCGATCCTGTCCATCCAAAGGTTGTCTGGAAGAAATCGCCATTTTTTTTCTTCTTTCGTTTATGTATTGATTTGGTGTACAAAGTCACATTCGCCGTGGAACGTTCCTGTACACCTTGTACCAAAAATTGGATGCATCTGGTGAAATTAAATTTCGTTTGGTTATAGACTATCGACGTTTGAATGCCATAACTATCGACGACAAATACCCACTAAAGTCCAGTCGCGGAGCACGAAGAATTTCGTACAATGACCTTTTTACCTACTGACAGTGGTCACAAATATTTTTGTATTTAGTGCGGTTTACATGAAATATGGGGGGATATTTGCTATAGTTGCCACGCTTGGCGAGCGGGTTGGCAACCGCAGTTTTTTATTATTATGCAGAAAGTCGATGGATGCAGGTGGCTCAGGACCGTGCTTTGTGGCATTACTTGGGGGAGGTCTATGTTCAGCAGTGGACTTGTGAAGGGCTGTAATGATGATGATGATGATGATGACATGAAATATTTGAAGGAGAAAGAAAATTTATCAACTTATGAAATATAGTTATTATTATTATATAAATTATTTATTTAGATTTTATATTACAAGTAATAAAAATCTAGACAAGTATCTACTAATTCGGCAGAAAAAAATCAAAAATCAGAATCCGATTCCTCTGTATCGGAGTAACTGCTTTCCGAAGACGTCTCGCCTGTCACATTTATCACAAAAGAATCAACAGTTTTGTCTACATTATCATCTAGTCTAGCTAATTTCGATTCCTCTTTTTTACGTGACTGATGCAATTTTGCCATTTTTGTGCTGAAATGTTGCCTAAAGCCTACTGGAGCAGCTTTTTAATATCTGCCATCTTAAATGTTGTATTTTTTCGGGCCACATACCCCTTGACGTCTGCCCACACTAGTTCGATGGGATTCAAATCGCAATGGTACGGAAGTAATCTCAATACCTCCACACCAACAGCTTTTGCCAGCTCATCGACCACGTACGATTGGTACTGAATCTCGACATCTTTCACCTTTTTCAAGAGCTGGACATTTGTTTCCTTTGCCTCAAAAGAAATTTGCTTTGATAAAAGCCATTCTTGAATATCTATTTTTTTCCAACTAGTAACTGGGATTTTTTCCTGGCGTCTTGAGTGGTAGCTGGCATTATCCATGACAACCAGAGCGTTTGGCTCAAGTCTCGGTAGCATTGCTTGAAACCAATGTTCGAACTTGGCTGCATTCATCGATTCGTGATAATTGCCTGTACTGATTCTGACACGAATCCTTGTTCACCTCCTATATGTAAAATAATTAGCCGGTTGCCTTTGGAAGTAGGATTCTTGGCACCCGTCGACAAACCCTCCAAAAATGCTTGTTTTCGTGACTGCACTGTAGTGTCTTCCCACACCTTGCCAACAGTGTGCCCTGAAAAGTAAATGAATAAACTAATCAAAGGTTTAAACAGTTAATAGCCGTTTAGGCGTGTAAAGGTGACAGGCAGTGTTACTTTCACATTCATAATTTTAGTATAGATTTAAGTCAGTTAGAAAATAATAAAAATAAGTCTTACCCTCATTCACCCAAGTTTCATCCAAGTAATATATCGGTCGTTGTTGCTGTCGGTAAGTTTTCATATTTTTCAAATATTTGATACGCCACAATGCTATGTCATCTCTATCGATTAACCTGTTATTTCTCCTTCGTTTGACATACTTAAACTTCAAATTTTTCAGTAATTTATTCAACGATGTCAAGCCCATGTTTGGTAAGAATTCATCTGCATTTATGATATGTAGCACATTTTTTGCTGTAGGTAACTCTCCTTTTAAATAAAAGCTGTGCACTATTTGTCTAATGCACGTTTTATCGTACCCATCAATCTTTTCAATTAATGAGAGTCGTTTTTTCGGTGAAGCAGCTGGCTTGACGGTATCTGTATCGGTGTATTATTTTAAGATACGATATATGGCCGATTTCGAAATGCCCAAGATATCGGCTTTTGTCCTTCATATCTTTTTTTGAAGGATATTTATCAGCAGGCCAGTATGCTTTAACGTATTTAAACACGTTAATAATCATTACCTTCTCAGATACACAAAAGTATGACATTTTTCTTTTCTTCCGCGGAGAAACAAACTCCTTGAATGGACGCGAGGTAGACGACGCTGGTTCCATTTTAAAAGAGTGAATAAAACTTAACAAATTAATAAAACCACTTAACAATTAAAACAAGATAACAAAAACTAACAAACAACAACAAACTAAGAATAGGTAAATAACTGTGTCCGAAAACTGAGCGATCACTAACGCATGCCAAAATGGAATGTCGTTCGTTATTTAAACATTATTTATTACGTCAAGGTCAAGCAAACCAAAGACTTTTTGTCGTGACTCAAGGCCAACCAAAACCACATTATGCAAACAAGAACAAACCTTATAGTCTCCAGTAAAAGGTTTACAATTGAAATAATACTAGTTTTTACGGAATTTATCGCGTATATTTAAATTTTTAAATACCCGACGTTTCGAACGCTTTACAGCACTCATGGTCACGGGCGGGACTGAGATGGTCAACGTCCATATGTCATAGTTATCTATACAGTCTTCTATACAGTATGAACTTATGGTATCTTGAAGTCTTGCAGTTGTATGCTTGGGTTGGGATTTAATTTTATTTATTATCGAATCCCAAGCAGATGGTAGCACCCAGCCATCTTCTCTATTGAAATTAGGATATTTTTTGATTTCAATAGCCTCGCGAATCATCCTTGGAAGGAATCGGTGTTCTTTAGCGAGGATTTGCGGTCTATCAAATCTGATGTAGTGACGGGGGCGATCCTGTACGTGTTCACAGACTGCAGACTTCCCGGAGCGTCGATTCTTCACATCAGCTATATGTTCTTTAACGCGGGTTTTTATTGATCTTTTAGTTTATCCTATGTAGGAGAGACCACATTCACAATCAAGCTTGTACACTCCTGCATCTTGCAGAGGGACATTACACTTGACTGATGGTAAAAACTGACCAATCTTCTTCAGCAGCTTGAAGTATGTTTTGATGGAATCGCGCTTCAAGATGTAGCCAATCTTGTCAGTGACTCCTCTAACATATGGCAGTACAGCAGGTACACGCTCGAC